GGTTTTTTTCTTGCAGTGAAAGTAAAAAATATGCTACACAGAGATGAGAAATTTCTTGAAGGGCATGTGCCTCTGAATTATTCAAACACTTTAATATTGTCACACCTGGATGTTGTATTATGATTACATTTTCTACGTGTTGCAGTACAGAGGGATCAAACACATAACTTCTCTGCAGGCAGACCTGATCAGCATTATCTGTCAAGCTCCACATAACTGGGAATGTGTCTAAACAGAAGTTCAGACCTTTGCCTAGCAAGCCATTGTTCAGTGACCATGGAAAGCTGTTAAAGAACTTTAGAAAGGCCTCCAGGTGAACTTCTGGGAAAAGTTTCTGAAGTTGCCAGAAATCATTCTTTCAGTCTGTTTCTAAGGTAGGCTTTTCTGAAGAGTGTAAGAAGTGCACAGTGCTGTAAGCTGTTTGATTCATTTGTCCACACCTTGGTGAACCTGTATGGACTCCAGCCTGCCTTGTTGCAGCGTAGGGTTTTGCTGCTGCTACTGTTTTATGACAGCCTGAAGTATTGACTCCTGTTAATTCTGCAGGGCCATGCTGCTAACAATGAGTATGCTGGAGTGTGGTTTTTGGTTAATATGCATATGAGCAGAGTTGCTTAATCAGTTCAAATTAGAAGACTAATGTTTTCTTTAGGCTTACGCAATAATAAGCTTTAACAAGTAGCACTTGTTCTTCATGCCAGAAAAAATGCATTTCATTAGTTTTGCTGTCTTGGCTACAACCCAGGACTGCATCGGTGGAACTGATGCTTACGACCTCTCTACTTCTCCAAACATGTTCTCCTTGCCTCCTCCCAAAGAAGTGCTGTTATGGTTTGCACTTATGCTGTATTGTGGATTAGACAATGCTCAGTCTTCTCTTGTGAGTAGGTAAGCGACTAAAGATTACACAGATTATCTTGTGTAACAAGAACAACTATGCCAAATGCTAAGTAAGGATGGATTTGTGTGGTTGGAAGAACATCTGGTTTATGGTGGCAGGTTGTATTGAACTCTGCTATGGATGCTGTTAGCAGTCTCTGCTCTGTGCCTCAAGTGAAAATTTTCTAACTCACACACATTATAATTAATGTTTAAATTTCTAATTTTGGATGCTCAAAATTGAGGCTCAGTGATGAAATCAGAAAGTGAATCCAAGATGTCTGAGGTACCATCACATCAAAAACAGATAAAGCAATTAACAGCAAGATTAATGTGTGTGACTGAAATGCAAAGAAGATACAGAAATGTGTACAATACACACTAGAGGTAACCTGACTCAAAGTGTAAGAATGTTGCAAGGAAGAAGTATTTTCTGTATTTCTTTGAATACAGTTGGGTGCTTGAAGCAGTAAGTCATTTGATGCCCCTACATTTGCACACCTGTAGAACAGCTTCTTCAAAGACTTGCCACTGTAGTAAGGGGTTCACCTGTGTACCTGGAGCAGATGTGAGTTGCTGGGTTGACAGGATCATGTACTTCTCAAAGGAGACTTCCAGGGTTTGTTCCAACTTGCAGAAGAAAAAATACATGTGACAAATGTTTATCTTCTGATACGCGTATTTCAGAAGTTCTCTTGAAGCACTTAGAAACAATTTCATTCCTTTTGTGGCACAGAATATTTTAAAAATGCGGTGGGAAAAAAGGAAGTAAACTAGAAAACTTTTCATGGTCTGTAAGAATAAAAATGTGGGAGTGAGGGAGAAAAGTGATGGTGGTGTGCAGCTGACATGAAGTGTGAGGCAAAGTACTTCCCCCTCCCTCCCACCCCCGCAGTTTTGCAGCACTGGATCCACTGGGCAGTCATTTAGAAAAATGTTTCAGCATGGAATAGTATCATCCCTCTTTGGAGCCAGAGGATGATGAATGCCTTCTTGCAGGCCAGGTACGGGCTGCCTGCAACAGACTGGGTGGGGAAACAGACCCTTGAATTTAACTTTATTTTGGGATAATTAATGTACAAATAAAATGGTTCCTTCTGTCTAGTGCCATAACCAAAAGCAGTCTGGGATCATATACGCATCAGGAGATAAGATCTGGTACTAGTGAGATGCCACACTGATACTTGATAGCATATACCCTATTTCCTGATCCAGGGACATGCTTGCGCTCCCTTTCACAGCAAATATGACTGAATATGCAAAATATTTAAAAGGTTGTATTTCATGCATATTGCTAAAATTAACACTTAGATTACAGGCAAGTTCTTTCCACTTTCCATTTTAGAACAGATCAATCTTTGACTTTTCTGTGAAGCTTTTCACTGAGGTTAAGGGCTGGAGAGGGAAAAAAGTTACTATACTACGTCATTAAATGCAGGTAGCTTGTAACTTTTTTGTAGAACAGTTTCACATGATTTTACATGTAACTTACCCAATATATAAACTTTTTTCTCTTTGTGAAAAAGCATCTGGATTTTTTAAAATTTAAGATCTGCAAGAGTAATGGTTTGTGACAGGAGTGGAAGAAACTGATCTGACTCTCCTGCAAACTCTTGGAAAGCTTGAATTTGGAGGAAGGGGAGAGCACAGAGGAAGTACTATGTGTCTATGTGTGAGGAAGTACTATGTGTCTATGTGTAGGATTAGATTCCCATTTTCTTAGTTTCTCTTGCTTTATTCCCTACAGTGCCTTTTAATTTGACAAGTTTTACTTTAAGGCAAGATCAATCATTTGATGTCTTGGTATTGAAATAATCAGTCTATTGACAACTTAAAATGTTAAGGCAAAAGCCTTTTGAGACATGGCTATACTGAAATACTGTGGAGGAATAGTCTCCTTAACATACTTTTATTTTTAAAGAAGCTGAAAGACATACATGCATACTATCAATGTCTTCTCAAGTGCAATTATTTTCCTCCTCCCACATAAAAAGTAAGGAGGGAGATCTTATTTAAAAACCATTACAAAGATGTAACTATTGAATTCAGGTTGCCAGAGAGATCATTTAAGAAGGAAAACCACTGTCTCTCAACAATAAGATAATACCACGGGGGATGGATGATTATCCATGAGATAATTTTGTTCCCGAGTGTTGTAAATCTCAGCTGCTTTCCCTTCCAAACCCAGCACCTTGGGGTATGAGAGCTTAGAATTTATTCTCTACTGTGCATTCAAGCCAAAATACTAGAGTATAAGCTATCACTTAAAAATTCATCTTGTTTTCTCAGTTCTTGGTGCTGTTAGGTTGCATAATTTCTAAGGCAAAACTGAGACGGTCTTTAAAATAACGTAGAACATAACACACACATAATTAAGTTGTAGTACCCAAGTCAGATCCTCACTTAAAATACTGAAGTAGTCTTAGCGCTGCAAATCACTCCTAGTTCTCCCTACTTGAGACCTTATTTAACATCAGGCCAGGAACAGACTATTCCTTTTTAAAGGTAAGGATGTTCTTGAAGGCTTAAGAAGATTAGGTCTATCTTAAACAATAATTCAAAATGCTTAAACCCTCTTGAATCCTCATAGAAGTCCAGCATCAGAAATATTTCTGAATAGATATTTAATGGAGCTTTTTTTCTAGGAAGAAAAAGGGCTTACCATGTTGTAATTTTTAAGATCATCTCAAAACTAATTGAGAAAATGGGCAAGATTTTGCTGCCGCAGCCTAACCTTCTGGTTACAGCTTGCAAGCTTTCCTGTTCCTCAGAACACTTTGCTGTGGAAATATAGACATGCAGTCTCTTCTTTCTCTCACGACTGGAGCCCTGCCCAGTGGCTGCAGACAAGCAATGCCTCTTTCTAACTTAACTTCCAACTGAACCTGACAAGCTGAAGCAGCGCCCTCATCCTACTTCAACAAGGTCAGCTTTTTTGAGGACGGCAAAGTGAAAAGTTGTTCAAAATCTAACCACTGCAAAAAAAAAAAAAAAAAAAAAAAGGCCAAAAAACCCCCAGTAGATTATTTAGTATCTAGTTATTTGCAAAATTTGATTGTTTTCTTTTCCCCTTAGCACACGTGTTTCTAGCTGCTGACAAAGAGCTGGAACAAGCTAGACCCAGGGCAATAGGAAGATAATTCTGATATCCATAGCTCCAACTATGACCTCTATAGCAATACATGAACCCAATCTCCTAGTTGAGTTCCCTTTAAGAAAGCTGGATGCCAGTGATATATCTCTACTGTCATTCTTTCCATGAGTACTTTGAAGAGTATTTCCACTGGTTAATGAGCTATAGGATAATACTTAATCAGCATCTGACTTAGCATCAAGCAGAAAGTTGTTATCCTTTATGTGAACTCTAAAAATAATTGCGTTTTTTTTTTTTAAAAAAAAAAGGCAAACAACCCAACAGAAACAAAAAACAATAAAACCTTTCAAAGAGCACAGAAATTCTGCGAGTAAAATTCATCCTCATGAAAATCTACTTGTCAAGTTTGTGTGCAAAGTACCCTTTATTTGCAGATTCTTGAAGGCAGTGCTGAATATATGATATGCAGGGAAGACTAACAATAACCTACCATGCTGCTTTCTCTTTCTCTTTCCTTTTAAGCATAGGCTACTGAGGATAAAGCATTTTATCAGTAGAGGCAACACAGCTCTCAATATGTGGAGAACTCAATTATTCTCTGCTATTCTTTGAGGCTTGCTGTTCTTATAAATTTGTTTTTCATTGACTTAATCTCTCTCCTGTTCTGAAATACCAACATTGACTGAAATTTAAAATCACAGTACAAGCAGCTATTTTCTTCCTATGGAACAGTAATAAGGCTTTACTATAACTTGACTGGGACAAGAAAATCAGAGTGTTTTTATTGAAAGACTGAAGAAATGGGAATTTTAGGTTCCCTTATCAACTGTTTTCCTCTTTACATGGAACATGGGTTTTGCACAGTTATGGGAGAGATAGGTCTTTACAGAGGCCAGCGAATTCATGCTTATCCAGAGCCTGGGTGACCAAGAGTCAGACAGAGGAGTCTCTATCAAATTAGAGGATGTTTTTTGTGAAGACTTATATGAAACTTGCAGTTGAAGGATATAGTATTACAAAAGCAAAAGACAATGAGTAAAGGGTTTTATTGGCTTCTCTCTCTTCTACCCACACAGCAAAGGAAATACATGTGTATGTGTGTACACAGATATGTACATGCACTGAAAACAATATGCAGCTGAGCCATGAAAGTGACCTGTTCCAACAAAAAGTATAGTTAAACACCCAATGAGTCCTGAGAGAGGGTTTTAAGAGGATTACCTTCTCACAAAGATTACAGTAAGGTAGCTGAATAAATTGTCTGGTTTGAGATCTACAAGTGGAACTTAAACAGAAGTGTGCCAGTATGTTTATTTCACTACCAGGCCAGCTGAAGTAGTCTGAAACTTTCAAGACTTGCCTCTTTTATTATTGCACAGTAAAACAGTTTGACAAATGAAAGTCCAAAAACTGGTATAACTGATGCTAGAATATTGGTGCACTCTGATGCGCGCATACATACATAATGCTAACATTATGGAACAAATCCACTTCAAATGCTCCAAGGAGATAAGCCCTTTGTCCTACCACCAGAGACACAAATATTTAATAATATACCAGCATTTGGAAAAGTTCCACTGCTACCTGCTTATATAAAATGAGCTGTGTATGACAAACAGGTTCCTAGTGTGTTATAATAATTAAATTATTTGCTTTTACCGTTTTTGAAAACAAGCAGCGTCCTCCCACTAATGAATGTGCAGCATAGCCCACAAAGTATTTGTTTTGTCCTATCTCTAACATTGACGGAGAGAAGGAAAGCTTAACTTTCCCCAACTGTTCAAACACTCCTGCAAGACAACAAATGCAAAGCTACAACATGTTAAAATGATGTCTGTAAGTCTGTTTATATTGATTTCTAGAACATAAAAGGCAACCAATTTAAAAACATTTTGTCCAAGAAATCTGATCTGAATAATGAACCCTATGATCACAGATTTAAAGCAAGTGCAGATACATGCAGGAGGTCCTTCAGAGAAGCGTCACAAGTCCTGTGATTCATGGTTCATTTACTTTTGGTTTCGTGGTTGTGAGGCCATGTACAGTGCTACTAGGCAGTAGATAGTCCCGCCTATTGTTAGAGCCATAGTGGTCCGATAAAGCAGCTTATCTGGAACTCCTCGTTTCAGGTGTACTGGCAGTCCATCTGCTTTCTGTGGGAAGAGTTTAAAAGGAAAGCAAACATAAAAAGAAATTAACACCCAGACGAAGGCCCTAATGAACAAACTACCTCAGGCAAATTAAGAGTCTTCCATGACAGAAACCTCCTGACAAATAGGCTATCTACAATCAAGTGTATTATGTGTTTTTCATTTAGCAAGACAAATACAAAGGCAAGTTAATGTTATTAGTTAAAGCTGTTAAGTGCAGGCAGAAAGAATGTATCTTGAAATATTTCTCAAGATGACCTGAATGGGAAAAGTATCATTGACAAAAGAATGTGAGAAGATATGTGTAAAAAAATTATTCACCAAGTCAGACTGACAGATTCCAAATGCAAGTGGCATGTAAGAGAGAAAAGGGAACATCATATAAAGCACATTCTTGATGTTTTTAAAAAAATGATTAACGGATTTGTTTTATGAAAAGTTCTAGTACACTTAGAAATTGCATAGCTAACAAACTGGCTTTGAAAACTTCACTGTGCTGCTCTTATACTGCATTATAAACAGTTCCAGTGATAGTCAAATTATTATATACAGAACAGTAATGATCTACTTTGCTCCTCCAATCTGCTTCAAGGCATATGCTTGGATTCCCAGACAGAAAGTGCTTCCAATAGTCAAATAATACAATAAGCATCTTCTGAAGCCACTGAAAAGACAGACAATATTACCAGACATTCCATTTTCTGCATCTATTTCCTATATGAGGCATATATACCTTGTAGTATAGTAAAAATACACAGGTTATACTGTACTTGACACTTAGTTAACTAGACTTTACAAAATTCTGGTATTGTAGAATGACAAAAGTAGTTAGCCACATTAAAATAAGGAAAGATACGTCCCACTCTCCAGTTTTCTTTAAGTTACTCTGAAAGATGTTGTTACCTGAAAAAGTTTCTGTAGGTCTGGCACCTTGTTTTTACCCAAGAAAGACTCAGTAGCTGGTAAATCTGAAGCAAGTTTAGTAGTTGTCCCAAAAATCAGAGCTGGGGATTCAGTGGAAACTATTGGTTTGAGTCCCTGCATAAATAAAGATTAAAATATCAAGGTACATAATACTTGCAAGTGTACCAATTGTCATGTTAGGCAGGCATGCTGCCAGTCATCACAAGGATAAATTACAAAGAATATTTATCTGGTATGAAGACCTGTGACAATAAGCTACAAATACATTGTTGGCCCACTCATTTCTCAGCTACAACTTTGGGTCAGGGCTTAGCAAGGAGAACAGAAGCCTCCTTTTTGATTTCTTCATGACACAAATGTATAGCTATCATAAGTTTTTCTGTGCTGGTACTTGGTCCAAATTGCTGTTTATTTTTTGCACATAGACTATCTAGGGCTCTATTTGAGTGGTAGGATTTGAAGCAGGGAATCCCTGATGCTTTGGGTCAGCATGAGGAGACTTCAATCAACTCCTCCTGAATGCTGCAAACAGTAGCCATAAATAACTGGGCCTTAAATAGCTTGAATGTATAGTTTGAGGAGGGAAAAAAAAAAGTCAGGACCACTTGTTTCATGCAAAAGTAGTAAGCGGTGCTCAAGGCCACTCCAGAAGCCCTGACACAGTAGATATTTTATGCAGGTGTAACTACCCTGTAATTCACATGTTGCTGCAACCTTCCACACCTCAGTGTACTCCTTATGAGCAGCATAACTTAATTTCCTTTCAATTCAGACAGTTGTACTCTACGTTTGCAATAATTAAAAACTATATTCAAATTTATTTAAAAACTAAATTAAAATCCAGTTCTGTGGATAAGATTTAATGCACGAAGTCACAGCCATCATGCAGTAGACTCCCTGCTTTTATTTTATAGTTAGATTTAACACCTATGCCTGCACACAGGGCAGTGATATTTTATATTATTGTTCCTGAAAGAGCTGCAATTTTTTTTAAAGCATTGTACATGTAGGTTAATGCAACAGGTTTTCATTACAACCAGAAGCAGCAATTGCTCTCCATGCGTCAAGTTAAGGCTGCACTGAAATTCTGGTTTCTGTTCAAAGGACTGGTCGATGCATTTGGTATTTAAGAGATACTGAACAGTATTTGGAGTTGGAAGCAGACTGGCACTCTTTTTCTCTTATGCCTGCCTTAGACCAGACATGTTTTTTTCCATACATAAAGTCTCTGCTACAACAGGCATCTTCAACAGAAAGACCAGATTTCTCAACATCACAAAATAGCCTATGGAAGGGTCATCAGGGCTCCATCCTGCTGAAGACATGGGTCCAGCTTCCCACTTTTCTGGTGCCTGAATGAATATCAGAATCCCTTTGTGACCTTCTTGGTTATGTTTTGAAAGACAGCCGCCAAAACTGTATTCTCTGACATATTCAGTAATTAGTGCCTTCCTACTGAACAGGCTTGCACATAAGGTACTGAATTATTTAAGGCTAAGCAGTTCTGGTCACACCACTAAGAAGAATGCATCTAGGAAACTATTATTAGCCAGGGGAAGTTATTTGCTATATATTCAAAACTGAGTACCAACTATGTCAAAATACTTGAAGAAATGAATTCTGGACCTGTATTGTTGTCTGTAAGAACTTTAAGTAATTTATTACATTTCTCTTTAAAAGGTTGGTGATTTGATGTAAACATCTGTTTTATGGTCATTTTCTATAAATGTGCAGGTGACTTTTCTTGCCCTCTTGATTGTTAGTATAGGACCAAGGTATACCTTTCATCTTGTTTTAGGCTTCTACTTCTGAATCTTACTTTTGCCCTCCTGAGGGCCCAACTTTTTCAGAAGCAGTTTTTGAGATTCCTTCAATAGTTACTAGATCGTTGCAATTCCTGCTTGTTGTGATCTTGTCTACTTTATTTCATGAGCTATCTGTAGTGTATAAACCCCATAAATACTGAGAATTGGAGTAAGCTGCAAACTACTTCAAACAGTTCCATGATAAAGATACTTCTTTCATCTTTCCTAAACTCACAGATAGATGGCTTAATGACTGATTAGCAGTCATTAAGTGATTATCAACCCCTACCATTTGCTATTGGTGCTAAAACTCCTGCCTCTACAGGATACCACCTGGATGCAAGACACATGCTACAGATTACTATTAGAATGGTGAAATCAGTCATGATAACTAACAACTGTAAGTTGTTTTTCAAGGCTTTAGAAATACATTCCTGTTCAGATAGTTAAGATCCCCTTCCTGTTGTGATCAATAGGAGATTCAAATCTGACTCGGGTGACCAACTTCATAATGAAATCAAATGAAACGATTTCAGAAAACTCATATATTCATCAGTGTACTGTTGTAAATGACTTCCAAAGCAGCATGGCTCCAGTTAAGAACATCGCATAATAATTTAAATAAAAAATCATTGATATGGTTCACTGGCTTCAGGAAAGAGTACACCAAAACACATGCTGCAGAAGAGAGACAGTTCAGTTTCCCTAACACAGACACCACATTAATCAGGGTCTCTCACCCCAACATAAAATTCCACTTGAATTCCATCCATGAATGTGAATCGTGTGGTCAGCTCCAACAAAGGTCAGCTAAATTAGTGTAACTGCGTGGCGTTCCAACTGGATACTTGTCTGTGTTTACTGAGAAAGTGGCAAGTGCTTCATCTCACACCCAGCTGCTTACTAAACTTAGCCTGGCTGAAGAGAAATCCTCAGTATTACACATAAGAATTTCAGTACAGATAATTGTTTATGCAAGTCATTAAGGCACCTTACATAACCCTTAATTTTCACTTGTATTTAACATGACTGAAACTGCAGGTTTATTTAATAACATCAGTGTCTCGCTATACTCAAGATAGTACTGAAGAATTAATGCCTCTAAACATCTGACCTATGCTTTGTAAGAACATGTTTCACATTGATAAGTCCTCTTCTGATACTACAGTGTCAATCTTTTATTTCTAATCATATTAACAGGAATTTTCCAATTCTTGGACAAAGTACAGCTGATGTACTCATGCAGAACAGTCAATATCAGCTGATGTCACCACCACACTACAGCAATGACTTTGTCAAATGCTGCAATCCTCAGTGAAAGGTCAGGATATGTAGCTAACCCAAAACAACAAACATTCTCTGTCTACACCTCTGTAAAGTGTGTTTGTTTACCTGTCAGAGGTCTGAAGGTCTTCGGACACAATCTACCTGTTGGTTGGCCAACATGCTTGGTTAAAACAAACATCCCTTGCTAATATGAATATCCGAGCTAGATTTTCTGACCGCTAAAACAGTTAAGGATTTGGAGCACAATTTAACAGAGATAGCACCATGCTTAGTTTCTTTAAAATGTTAGGGGAATTGCTCAAACAGATCAGAAAATGAAAAAGTAGAGAAAACTGAGGTAAGGACCAAAGTAAAAAGGGGAACAGGAAAGAAAGTTGAGAATTATTATTTCAGAACATGCATTGAAGTAACTTACATCAACTTGCTAACCTAAATAGCAGGTCCTTCATAGTAGAACATACTTCACTGTATGAGGTTAAATATATTTGTTACCACTAACACAAAGATGCTTTTAGGTAGGATCACGTGAGGCTTTGTTTGTCTTGGGATGACACACTTAAGTGAAAGTGGGTTTGTGTATGTTTTAAGTAACATCTACAGCATAAAATATTAACCATCATAGTTTCTCAGTGAACTCCAAGCAATTCGTAACAGCTAAAATCAAAAGATCTGTGACTTGTGGGAGTTTTAAGTAGTTACAAACAAAATAAGTTGCATTGATTGAAGATACAGTAGTATGACTAAATTTCTACCAGGATCGTGGTCAACCTTGAACTAGGCAAAAGTTCATACAATTGTCCTTGCCTGATGGTATTTGAAAGTGGTCCCACTATTTGTACTTTAAACATAAGTCAACTCTTTGAATTAACCATTACAAATACAATAAAAACTATTATGGTAGCCATTGTCCTCCTAAATATGAATAGTAGTTTTTAATCTGTTTAACTCCTCACCTCCACTAGCTAAGAAAGTTCCCATTTATTCAAATATGCTAAGTTCCTCATACTACTTCACATAACTTTGTTAAATGCAAAATTAAGTCTTCTAAGAATACTAAGACTGAGATGGAAAGCACAATATAGGTTTCAAACTAAGAGATATTTTTGTTAGTATAAGCTCTTAGTATTGTTAATGTCAGCAAAAGAATTTCTGAAATACATTGACTGATATTTTGCAAACCCACAATAAACTTAAACCTGTATTAGAACAATACTCCGTATGAAAGCATCAGAATGTAACAGTACAGAATGGAGTGAATTATTTTACTGCATATTTGACCAAGGAAAACTTGAATCTACCAAAAAACTGGCTTAAGAACATTGTTAAAAGGAATTGAAGGTAACTTTTAAAATGTAGCTCTTCTATTGCATAGCATGTTTGGGTGCCACAGTTGATGATTAAGCCGTGTGAATGATGAGCCAGATATGAAAGATAGTGTTTCCTTCATCAGTATGAAAAAAAACACATTTATAAAGTAAGACGAGTCCTAAAACTTATGCGAAATGCACCTACTTGGATACAATCTCATCTTCTCAACTATACTCTCTCAAAAATTAGCTTTTAACATTTCAGTGATGACACTGGAATGAAATACAATGCCCAGTGATGATCTATTAAGAAATAACTACAATATTCTAAAAGAAAACTATTTCTATTCCTTGGACATTCTCTTTCCTGCCTTGCAGAGCACATAAGTGTGATCTATCTAGACTTTTTTTTTTTTCCTATCTGCAGTGAGACCTATATGTAAAGCTAGTTTTGCATAGACCCTTTACAAACCAATTTTGATATATGGCACTACAGCATTTTAATCTAGACTATGTCAAGAATTCAGAATTTATTGTGTCTTTCTCTGTCTAGTGCAGTGATATTTATACATACCTAATATTCATTAACATAACAGTGTGGGATAAGAGAACTCATTATTCCCCTCTTATCTTGCTTCTGCCTTTTTAATACCTAAAAAATAAAGATGTACTTAAAATGGGATGATTGTTATAATGTAGCAGAGCCTGCTGAACAGAAAAGTAAGTGATATTTCACAATCTGCACTCCAGAAGCCAAGAGTGTTGTCTTTAGGACAACTTTACTACAGGTAGTTATCAGAGCTTTCTGTATTGTGTTGGGGCTTTTCTCTTAGGATCCTTAAAAGGCCGCATCATTTGCAGAGAAGTAGTCACAGTGACCTAGAGACCAAGTTAGACCTGTTAGTGCCCCTTGCACTTCTGCTACTGTTGCTGCTACAAGGATTTGCATTTTGCTACATACATTTTGAAGGTTTGTTTGTTTGTTTGGTTTTTTTTTTTTTTTTTATTTTATGCCAAAATATAGTTTTGGACAGAGGTAGGAAATCAATAATATAGCTGAAGACAGGTACTTGCACTGGCACTCACTTTCAGTAATAGAAGTTTTAATGTTCTAATAAACATAGTGTCTATAGTGTTCTAAGCTATACTCTCCCAGAAAGGAGGTACTTTACTGCTTGGGCTGGAAGCCCTTTCCCCCAACACACACCAATGGTAACCCTAGCCTTTGCTTTCCTCTACACAAATGAAGTGTCAACTGATGTTTATTCTCTGAATGTAACTTTTTGTAGGAGAGAAGTGCCCCAAACACAGCAAGAGTGGCAAGAGTGTCTTCTAGCAGAAGTGTCTGTTGGACATACTCTTAATGAACAGACACTTAATGAACAGACATACTTTTAGACTAGACCATATTGTTTATCCTGCTGTCTTCCCTGTGCCCTTCACCTCCACACCACAATACCTATCCAGGAAGCTTTCCAAAAAGTGACAGGCAAAGAGCGAGAATAAAAAAATCTTATTGGGACAGAAATTGCCATATCAGAAAGTCACTGGTACCCCAATGTTTACTTAAGATCATAGGCTAATTCAGGATTGAAGGACACTCTAGTGCTCTTTAGTCCAAACTGAGGTGACACCAGGTTGCTGTGGGTTTTGTTTGGTCTGGCCTTAAAAGCCTCCAAGGATGGAAACTGCACCTCCCTGGGCACCGGCTCCACTGCCTTAGTGTTCTCACCATGAAAATGCCTTTCCTTATACCCAGTTTGAACTTCTTGTTGCAGCTTATACCTGTTGTCTTTTGCCCTCCCACCATGCACCAGTGCACAGAGCCTGGCTCCATCATCCATTCACACCTCCCCTGTAGGTGCTGGCTGCCTGGGCTTAGGTGCACCTACCTCCCTCCCCCTTCTCTTCTCCAGGTAGAACAAGCTCCATTTTCTCATCCTCTCCTCACACAGCAAGTACACTGGCCCCCCCAAGGATGTTGGTGACCTCTGCTGAACTTGCTCCAGTTGCTCAAAAGCATTCCTATACCGGGAGGCCCACAACTGGATGCAGTACCTAGATGCGATCCAATGAGTGCTGAGCAGAGGGAGATCATCACTGTCCTTCATCTGCTGGCTAGGCATGTGGTGATACAGCTCAGGATGCTACTAGCTCACACCCAGCTTGCTGTCTGCCAGTACCTTTGGGATCTCTACGACAAAGCTGCTGCCACCAGCCTCAGTTTTCAGCTTGTACCCCTGCCAGGGGCTTTTCCTTCCCACATGCACAGCTTTGTCTTCTTCCCCTCATGGACACTCATTGTGTTCCTGTCAGCTCCTTCCTCCACTCTAGGTAGGTCCTTCTAAGTGGCAGCTCTACCTCAAACGTTTTGGAGCCACTGCCTTGATGTCTTCTGCAAACTTTCCAAGAGTGCACTCTATTGCATGCTCCAGGTAATTGATAAAAGTCCTGCAGTACTCCACTTGTTATGAGCATACCCACAGAGTATAACCCATTAACCACAATTCTAAGCCTGATCATCAAGTTCTCTTAACTGTTCTAATTCTGTCTCTATCTTAACTCAAATTAAAAAAAAAAAAAAAAAAATCAACATTACAAGCTTTGTAGTTGGTCTGGCCCCCTTGAAACAATTTGAGATTTTACAGAAGCTTAATACAATATTCCTGCTTACAGAAGATGACTGGATTTTCCAAGTAAAACTTGCACAGTCAAGGACATTCAGGAAAGCAGAACTGTAAGGTAGGTTGCTAACAGAATTAGGCTAAGAAAGAATGAAATAAAGTTATTTGGGTATCACAACAATACATGTTAGTCTGAAAGAATGTAGTATCTTCCAGTTACCTTTTATTATTGAGTTATCAGGAAAAAGTCAAACCACGACTTTGATTTCACTATAGTATTTTCCTATGTGTATACTTGTATCTATTTTTTTTTTCCTCCTTAAAAATCTCAAGTCATATCAGATATGTGTGCTCTATGGAAGCAGGTCTTTGGGAGGTTGACTTTTAAAAATCATTCTTCCAGTCCTTAACCTCCAGATTGTTTTTTTTAATTACTGAACTGTAAGAACTTAAGTTTTTCAAGGTTTACTCAGAAACCTGAACACGGTATAGCAACCATGCTGCATTTGTCCCGTGACAAAAATCACATTACATATCTTTGTAATATTACTTAAGAATCTATGTTGATTTACATAAAAGCAAATGAGTTCTGTGACGACTTTTCACCATTATGCAGCTCTTTAATGTCTTGAAAAGGATAATGTAATTAGGATCCATTTCCTCTCTGCTCCTGAAGAATTAACCATGTACTTTAATGATAAAGTATGGAAAGTATAAGCCTATTTAATGCAACCTTTAACCAGTATACAATTTGTAAATATAGCAGTAGCATACAGAGTGAAGGCTGGTTTTCATTTTGCTTTAAAGAAACTTCTACAGCTGTGTGTCCTCTTCGATAAGAGTTTTAATACTTTTGGTAATTAGATTTTTTGCATGCACAGACAAGAGAGGGGCACTAGCTGCAGTGCTGTTTTGGACGTGCCAGCTGCGCCTTTAACCCAACCACCAGCCGCCGTTGTAGCTCGGGCACAGTCCTACACGATGAAAACGCGCGAATCTCTTGCTGTGACGCCCAATACACCCCAGTATGGAGTCCGGAGGCGCACCACAGGACGAAGCAGCCCGTCTCGTCCACGGCCAGGCCAGGTTCGCTAGGTGCACCGCGGGGCACCCCCCTCTCCCCTTCCCCAGAATAAACGCCACCGCGCCCCGAAGCCGCGGTCGGGGAGGCGAGCTCCAGCGTGCACCCAAGCGCCCTCCGCCCGGTCCGGCAACGCCAGCTCCCCGCCTCCGCCCGCCGCACACGGAAGAGGACGGCGAAGGTCAGCGCGGCGGTGGCGGCCCCGTTACCTGGGGGTTGTAGGCGGCGGACGCCGCTGCCCCGGCCAGCCTCTGCGTGAAGCCGTTGAACTTGTAGTACATGGCGGTCGGGCCCCGGCGCGCGCGCGCACTCCCAACGGCCCACCGGCTGCGACGCCACACCCTGGAGGACCCCAGCCGGCGCCGTGCGACGCCCTGGCGCGCGAGGGCCCGCCGGCTCGCGGACCCCGGCTGCGAACGCCTACGGGCGCCGAGCCCGGGAAGCCGCTAAAGGAGCGCGGTGGAAAAATTAAAAAAAAAAAAAAAAAAAAAAATCCGGCGAAATACACGAGGCGCTACTCAAGAAGTAAGAGGGCCTCTCTCCCTCCAACTGGCGCCAGTTTTCAGTCAGGCAACGGGCTGGTCTCCTGGCAGGCCGCGCCGTGGTGCGCATGCGCACAGCCGCCTGCCTGCCGAAGGGCAACGGGGGCGGGAGGCGGGGCCGGCGGCGGGAGAGGCGGGGCTGAGGTCAGCCAATCAGCGCACGGGGGCTGTGGGGCCCCTCCCACCCCCACGGAGGGGCGGGGCGGCGGGGCCCCCGTCGGGGTTTGAGGTTGGGGGGGCCCGCGGTGCCGTGGGCGGCTCGGGAGGAGGGTCCGCGGGTGGGACAGGGGTCGTGTGCGTGGGAGTGGCTCTTCGCGGCGGCGCCGGCCCCTCCCTCAGGCCGCCGCCCTCCTCGGGGTACTCGGCGTCTGAGGCAGCGCTGGGGGTTTGTTTCGAAGCGTTTGTTTTTCTGCTAGCAGTTAGGAAGGGACAGCAGCGCTTTTTGCTTTCCCCTTGTTTCCACTTTTATCGAGTGATCCCCTTCTCTCCCACTGTCTTCAGAAAAAAAATCTAAAATCTAGGATTTGCTTCATAAAATAAGACTTTCGTTAAATCAGCATCGTGAATGAGGAGAATGTGAGGTGGTGCTGCCTCTGTTGTGAATTTAATCTCGGGAAGTCCAGCAGCCCCAAGGCTGAAGGTACAGCGTGGCAGCGTGCTGCCATGCTCACAGCTCAAGGGCCTGCGGGCGATGAGTGGCCATTTGGCTCCTGTGCGTGCCTCGGCTCGTAGGCGGCTGCCAACCGAGGTGTTCTTGTTAGGATTCCAGAGTATCCAGCTATTAAGAGTCTGACAGTGCAAATTCATAATCACAGTTCACCCTGTGAATTGCTGGCTGTTGGTTAAGATCAAACAGTGAGGCTGTATTAAAAAAAGATCATTTGTTTGTAATGTTCAGTTGTTAGTGACCCGCACCAGTGTGAGTATTGCCTATTAGAAGTCCCACATACGGTTTTGCAGAGGTGCTTGCTACAAAAATATCTGGTTGTGCACTGAGTGAGAACTATTAAAATGTACTTTGCTTATAAACTGGAGGAAGATCTATTCATAGGAGATGTTTTAGAAAGTAAAATACCCATATCAAAATATGTATGATATGATTTCTTTACCCGTTTGTGTAACACCTTCTACTTAGTTTTTAGCACTTGAGTTTGGTGGCAGAAAAATGGAGCCTTGAGTCTTCTGGGATTTATCTGCTTCTGAGCAGACACGTGCTATACAGGATAGCCACTGCTCAGGAACGAGGAAAGCCCTTGTGAGCACTGTGCGTCCGTTTACTTGTGAGAACAGGGCTGTGAACCAGAAGCCTAGGTCCTTGCTATACCAGTTCTTATCTGTGCCCGTTGCCCTGGAGGCAGGTTTTCCTCCTGTTACTTCAATTCCACAAACCCAGTCTCTGCTGTCCTCTCATCGAGAGAACCCGCTAGATGCTCTGTACATGATACCCTGACTTGATGTTCTGTGTTAGGAACATTAACTGGAGAGGATGTGTTATTTGCTCAGTAAGTAGGAAATTTATGGAAATTTTTAGTATATTAGTTACAGGAGGAATTGTGAAATCCCTGTAGCTGTTAACACTAGGCAGCATTCATGAACTGGAACATGTGCTATATAATTTATGGTAGAAAAGAATTTACTGATCAGGATTCTACTTATTTCTGAGAAAACTAAAGTAGAAGTTATGTTTGATTAGAAATCTGCTTGTAATGAAGCAAAAGACCCTGAAGATGGGGTATACATATTTTTTACTGTGGAATGTTGTGAATCATGGCTAGGTTTGTGTGGTAATGGTCCTGATCTATTGAAATGCATGGAATCTGTCTCCTATTATAACTACTCTGGAACCTTTCCTGGGCATATCTGTCTGCAGGTGCACTGGAGTTCCTTCTCTCCAGCTATTTCAGTATTTGCCAGAAGAAATAGGCGTGCCTGGCAAGCTCACTTACTGAGGTTGTTTTATACTTTGCTCTTCTACCTTTTTTTCCAATATTAATACATGCTATTATCCCGGAAGAGTACAGGTTTTGTGGTAGGTCATGCACAGAGATAATGGTCTTGTGTAACTAGTTCTTGCTCCATCAATGCTCTTGAACCAAGTTCCTGCAAAGTCATTCAATATTGACTGGAAGCTGAGGGAAGGAAAGGTGCGTGCCCTAAAGCTCTGAGGAGGCTGTGAAAAATGTACAGATTTATCCCCTTTTTCAGTTAATCAATTTAAGCCATGGTGCTTAAAAGTAGGCTGTGAAACTTTGCTGCTGCAAGCTGTTGAAACAAAACCTAGGTGCTGTTTCTTTCTTGGTTTAGCTCACAAAATTGAACATGGGGAATTGTTTACCTTGCAGGAGAGGTGCATGGGAGGATGATATGAATAAAATTACAGTTAGAAATGAAGCTTCTCCTGTTGTTCTTGTAACACAGGAGCATGGGGACATTCTGTGAAAGGGTAAGTAAAATCAGAATAGCATAAACTCTTTGTTTTAACTGAAGAAACTTGGTTTGCCTTTGGCTTTTGCTCCATCTTTTGCTTTAGTCTCTAGGCTTTTTCTAGGACTGCTTTGCTTATCAGACTGGCTGACATAATGGGTAATGAGACTGTAAAACTTTTTGCCATAGGAAGTAATCGGGGCAAAACGAGGCCACTCACCCTAGCTGGCTTCAAAGAAAGACCGGGCATCTTTGTGGACCGTAAAACTATGTATGGTTAATGTAAACAAAGTATCCCAGAAGGAGAAGACTTCCTGCATTGGACTTTAAGATGAGCTCTGACTTTGAGATGAATAATTCGTGATGACTGGCAGTTCTACATCTGGTATTTTAGGGATTTTATATCTTCATCTGCAGTGTGGTATTGGTAGCAGCTAAAGACAATACTATCCTACAGTCTACGTTCTAGTTTATTCCATTTTTTTTCCAGATTTTTAAGGTAACTGATTTCATACATGCAGGTTTGTTTATCATGGCTCATTCCTGGAATAGCACTAAGATTATGCTTCAAGATGAGTAGCTTTCTGGGAGTGAATGAAAGAAGCAGAGTACCTTGAGCTTATTCTGCTTTTTTGTTGTTGTTGCAATATTTGTGTATTTATTTTCTTTTTGAGGATAAAATAAATAAAAAAACAAGACCTTATTCTGTTACTTAATGAACAAAACCTTCATATGCTGATCATTATTTCAGCACAGATGTCTGTAACTCAAATTCTGTCAATCTGCCCATGCAGCTCTGTTCTTGAATTGCTGAGAACAACTATGTGGGTGGATTTAGAACATGAAATTGCCATGTGTGCTTATGTTTTGTTTATGCAGTACTCATTTTTAAGAGTACTAGGTTGGATTTGCTTAATATTTGCTTTGTGTGTGTGTGTGTATACATAATATATACAAACCCCCAAACTAGAAGATGATTGCTAAGCATAAACTCTATTAATGTAAGAGACTGTGACATTGTAAACATGTTCCGTTTGAATTGTGTTATCAACTGAAAGAAATAAATTAAGTCCATGCACAGAATAAGGTGGTAGTAGCTTCTAAAACCTATACCTGGATTTATTGGTGCTTTATTGACCATATTTACTGAATTACAACATAGATGACTCTTGGAAATAGACTACTGTTGTCAACTAAGAGATTTCTCTTTGATAGACTTGACAATATCGAGAATTAATAAAACCAGTTTTTAATTTTTAAACTGTTCATACAGTTACAATATTGATACAACCACAGTTTTTACTATGAATCTTTCTCATAACAAAATTCTTGCTTTTTTTTTCTGAGGGAGATGGGATTAAAAAAGCAGCCATTTAGATCTTCTTTATGAATTTAGAAATGATTTCGCATTTCACTTCTGTTTCATGGGCACTTCTCTGTCTTGACATAAGGCTTGTACTTGTGAAATACTTGATAGCAATAGCTGCTTAATAGCAACAGCAATTTTGACAGTAAGGGCATTGTGTTGACTGTAGTATGACGAGGATCATAAATCCTTTTAAAGGGGTTGAATTTTTTGGGGGGGTATCTACCTCTTGTTACATTTGTACAGTATTCTTTCCAGGTTGTCAGGCAGAACTTGTCTGAGAAAGTAAATCAAGGAATTGAAAACTTGATTTTATAATTATTGTAAAGCCTAATGATTGAATAATGCCTCTGAGGCAATAAGTTATGCTTTTTATAGACTGTTTCTCTGCCATTATGTGTTACCTGTATAAAAGCAGAATGGAAATTGTGAAAGCAATGTTTTAGTCCAGGTTAGCAAGGAAGTATTCTTTTATCCTCCAGTCTCCAGACATGAAAAGCATTATAGGAACCTACAGTAAATACTGCTTTCACTACTTTACGGCTTTGTTGTCTTTGCCTTTTCCCCGCCTTTATTTTCAGGATTGCAGAAGTGAAGGTAAATTTTTCATCTGATTGAGACGTCAGTGTGGCCTGTCAGTAAAATAATAGTTACCTAAAATCTCTATTTATTCTATTTTTGAGCAAGTAATCTTGAAATCCCCAGGCTGTATCTCTATGGCTTATAACACTTAATGCTTTAGAAATGCTGTACTGGAAGGTTGGATACTCTGCCTTTTGCTGTTGACTTTGATAGGGACTACCATAGCTCAAAGTTTCTTTCTGTGTGCTTTCTGCTGTGACATATTTTTTCCTTTACAACCATAATGGAAATCTCATGATGGCAGTACCTTATTCTGCCTGAACTTTTCCCTTAAACATTAGACAGATAGTGAAATAGGTTCCCAAGTAAAGTGAGCAGTATCTCTGGACATCAAGAGGTAAAATCCATCCGCAAGGTTTTCTGTTTTCACACTGCTGCCCAAGTCTTCCTTCGCCTCTTCCGTCTCCCTCCTTAGGCTATAAGTGTTTCTCAGTCAACAGTCTGCAGCAGAAGTTTTGGGGTTTTTTTTCAGATATGTTGGAGATACTGGGAGGATGATGCGTTGTCCTTGTATTTAATTTCTTCTTGTCAGCTTTTTCATATGGAAATCCACAGACTGAAGAGACAATCATATCCTTAGTGTAGT